ATGCAGTCACCATGTCGAGAAAGATGAGATACTGGATCTCTGCAGGGACCTGGACCTGAGAGTCACACAGAAAACTCCAGACTCCTAAATGAGTGACAGCCTTGGGGAAAAACAGCAAAACAGAAGCCAGGGCACCAGCAGGGGGGCAAGCTGTTTCATCTAGCTATGTAAAGAGGGTACACTCAGTGTTGCCCCCACAGGGAGTGCCAAACACTAAGGTACTAAGGGAAATGAAGAACACCCAACCCGATTCACTTCTAATAAATTCTATTCTGAGGGCATATGACAGATAAAGTCAACACAAAGCTGTGTCAGAAGGACTGACTTCACTCTACAACCAGAAAAATTTATAAATACAGAGAAATTGCACTAAGATCAAGAAGCAAAAGTTAACTAAGGAAAAAGAGAAAAAAAATCTGTTTGGCAAAAGAACTTCAAATAATGTGTTTTTTTTTTGTTTTTTTTTTAACAATATTTTATTTATTATTTTTATTTTATGTGTATGCGTGTATTGCCTGCATGTAGGTAAGTGCACCCATGTTGTGCAACACCCGAGGAGGACAGAAGAAGTTGTTGGACCCTTGGAACCGGAGTTATGGACGGTTGTTAGCTGCCATGTGGGTGCTGGGATTCAAACCCAGGTCTTCTGCAAGAACAGCCAGTGTTCATAACCACTGAGCCATCTCTCAAGCCCCCAAGTAATTGTTTTATATCAGATATAGGTTAAGTTTTTGAGGTCACTATTTTGTTTTTGTTTTTGTTTTCTTTTTTTTTGTCTTTTTGAGACAGGGTCTCCCTGTAGCCCAGCTGGAATGGAACTTGCTATGTAGACCAGACTGGCCTCGAACTCAGAGATCCACCTACTTCCCAAGTGCTGGGATTAAAGGCATGTGCCACCACGCTCAGCAAGGTCACTATTATTTTTAAAGGTGGAAATTTTGTGTCATATACCATAAATCATATGTGCTGCCCACATTCAACAAAGGTTTTCTCAGGGTGGAAACCCTCTTTGTCCCCCCATCAAATATACAGAGACTGCTGGGTGTGGTGGTGTAGACCTGTAATCCCCGTACTTCAAAGGTGGAGGAAGAAGGATTGGGAGTCCAGTCATCTTCAGTTACAGGGTGAATTTGAGCCCAGCCTGGGCTACATGAGACACCATCTCAAAAAGTCAGAAACTAACACAAAGATTCCCAAAACTACAAAAGAATACTCCATTACCAGAGTTTGGTGCACTGACTTCTTGAAATGACTGAGTAAGTAGTTAAAAATACGGCCAAGCTGTGATATTTGTCCTGGTCTATACAGAAATCACAGGGTCAGCCATCCCTCAACCCCTAAGTATCTACAACTGCATTATCTTGATTCACTCAGGACCACCACCTAGAAGAGCTGCAGGGAAATGCTTTCCAGAAAAACTACGTAGGTCTGTCTGACTTTACTGTTTTTACCAAGTTTCTCTACACTGTATGTCTATTGCAGTAGGGGGTAAATGTGTCACTACCTGTAAAAAGCACTTTGCACACTGGCTGTGGTAGTATATACCTATAGACCCAATTACTCTGGAAGCTAAGGCAGGATGACCATATGGACCTAAGAGACTGAGACCAGTGTAGGCAACAGAATTAGAACCAATTTCAGCCAATCAAATCAATGGATAAAACCCTCACCTCCAAATCAAATTGTTACAATATATTAATTTTCCAAAGTAAACAAGGCACAGTAAGAGTATAGCTACTAAGCATATGACCATTTCACATGTACATATTTAAAGACTGAAAGCAATTTTAATTTTCCAGCCAGGCATGATGGCACACACCTTTAATCACAGCACTTGGGGGGCAGAGGCAGGTGGACCTCTATGAGATCTAGGCCAGTCTGGTCTCCATAGTGAGTTCCAGGCCAGCTATGGCTACAGGGAGACCCTGTCTCAAAAAGACCAAAAATAATAATAATAATAATAATAATAAAATAAAATTTAAAAAATTCTATAGTTGCATCAATTCTTGACGTTCAATTCCTATCGTAGACAGAAATTACATAACAGTTCCTTTTATATGTTAGAGGGGCATTTTTAAAATAGTACTGGAGAAGCGTCAAGACACTCTTCTGGACATCAACTTCAACCTCACCCATCGTGAAAACCATTCCTCGTTTCCAGGGATGAGGCTTATGAACGAGCAGTCCTCTGTGACTGAGGTCCTGCATTTTTATGTGTCATGGTATAAAGACTTTTAATCCCAAATTATTTCTTGTGTCTGTCTACCTGAGCACACTGTCTTGAAAGCACCGGGACCACCCACGTGACACATCAGAAGAAACAATGTTAGGCCCGAGTAAAGCACGGCTAGATTTTGCTTTTTTGTGGGAAGGGGGAGGGAACTGAATCTAAGGCTTTGTACACACTAGGGAAGTATTCCACCACTGAGTGACATCCCCAGCTCCAGGAAGCATGATGTAGGTTAGGTATGGCTTGGCTTCACATGTCATTTAGGTTCTAAGAGAGTTGTACCTTTCAACCAGTGCTCCCTATGGTACTCATGTGCAAAACTTCATTAGTTTTATGTTTTTAGAAGTTATCTTTCAAAAAACATTTTATTTCCTGTGCATGAATGTATTGCCTGCATGTAATATAAGTGCATCTATGTTGTGCAATTCCTGAGGAGGTCAGAAGAGGGCATCAGATTCTCCTAGAACTAAAGTTAGGGACAGTTGTTGGCTAGCCACCATGTGGGTGCTGGGAATCGAACTTGGGTTCTCCGCAAGAGCAGCCAGTGCTTTTAACCGCTGAGCCACCTCTCTAGCTCCAACTCCATACCCAGAGCAGTTACCTTCATGAGCTCCCCTTTTTTTGAAACTATGACATCACTAGAGGCTGTGTAACTTGAAGGTGGGTAACAAGTGAAATAGAATCAAATGCTGTCTCCAACAAAGTGTTCTTTGGAGAACATTTACTGAGAGCAATACCCAAACCCAGGTGGTTTTTTCCAAGGGTGACTGACAAGGCCCAGATCATTTCTCCATAAAGGGAGATGGTTTGTAAAACAGAAGGCAGTGCAAATACTGATGGAGGCCAGGCTGGTGAGGGACAGGTAACTTGCAAAGAAATATAAACTCCCTGGTAGAGCTAGCTGTCTTTCATCGTTCATTCTGCCACAGTAGTTCACTGTGCTAAATCAGAGGGTCTACAGTGCCGAGGGACCAGGCATTCTCAAGGACATTACTAAGGAAACTGCCTCAAGCAATGATCTGGGGCCAGATCTGATGGTACACACTCATAATCCCATCAGCTCTCAGGGGATTGAGGAAGGAAGATCGGAGTTCAAAGCAGCCTAAGAGACCCTGTGTCAAGAAAGTAGTCAGCATGTGAGTGTACACTGTAATCCCAGACTTGGAAGATTGAGGCAGGAAGATCAGGAGTTTAAATGCAGTCCTCAAACCACATAATGAGTTCAAAGCCAACTCAGTCTACATGAGACCATCTCAAAAGATCCAAAACAAAAATAAAAACAAAACACACACAACTTGACCAGAGTAGGAAAGCTACTCTTCAGAGTACAGATCAAGCTGCTGGTTGACATTGTCATATCTATTACACAGCTAACATGAAACACTGAAGATGTTAGTAACCAAACACAGTGTATGTCAGTCCTAGGGAGTATGCCATTGTCCATGTGAACCCAATTCACACAAGCAAGAAAACTCACTTCCAAGTACACAGAGCACAGGGTACTGCTGCAGAAAGTGGGCTGTGCCAACTTGTCAAAATTTCAAGATTCTTATGCGCTACTGACTCTAAAGTCACACGATAAACTTTAGGTAACCAGTACTGTTAACAGTTGTTGGAACTTGAAATTAAAAACTGACAGATTAAAACTCAAAGATCAGATGCTAGGTGATGCTACATTTAAAAAAATTAAACTCGGGAAGAACATAAGTTTCAGAGTACTAATGACCACATAAAAACTTATAGGAAAACTAAAACTTTTTTCTTTTTATTCTAATCGAGACAGGAGTCTATGTATTGCTCTGGTTGGCGTGGAAGTTATTATATAGACCAGTGTGGTCTCAAACTCATGAGTGATCTGACCCTCTTGTTCCTACCTCCTGAAATCTGGGATTACAGGTATACCCCATCACACCAAGCTAAAAATAAACCTCGATGGGGTTGGGGATTTAGCTCAGTGGTAGAGGCTCTGGGTTTGGTCCTCAGCTCCGAAAAAATTAAAATAAAAATAAACCTCGAAAAAAATTTTAAATTTATGTTTATTTGCTGGAGGGGGGAAGGACAGGGTACACGTGTTGTCAGAGGACAACTTGCAAGAGTTGATTTTCTCCAACTGTGTGGGACACCTGGGGAATGAACTCAGGTCATCAGGCTTGGCGACAGGCGCCTTTACCCCACTGAGCTATTCTGTAAGTCCTAAAAATAACACTTCTAAAAGAAAAAGTGAGAAATTCAACTTATTTGCCATTTAATCAAAGAGGGTGCTTTTGTTTTTCAATAGTAGTCATAAACCTTTGATGTTTTGAATGCTATTTTCCTAAATCCAAGCCTCAAAAAGGAGGTCTTCCATAGAGGAGTGTTTTCAGTCATGGTTTGAGTGGGTGGCTTTTCAAATTCTGAGAAGACAGGATTGGGAGCTAGTGACCATGTTGGTTGTCATTCCAGCCTCAAAGCAACAAAATGTAACAGAGGAAATGATTTCTATGAGCGAGGTATTAAAAAACAACAACAAATAAATAAAAACAACCCAACATGTACAGAGACATATACCTTAGAGGCATTTAGTGTATTTGGGAATTCTCATTGCATTTTTAGACAACTCTTTTGCAGGCTGTACTAAAAAACAAACACACCACTGAAGAAACCAGACTAGGAATTTCAGCATTCATTCGATGTTTCTGGAAGTCAAGGAAAGTAGCCAATTAAAAAATAACTCCAACATTGCCTCTTCATGCTCAGCAAGCATAATGATACTAAGGACAGAGCAGCTTACCTGAGACGGGACTCTTCCTTAAATTTAAGCTCTGAGAATCTGTCATCTCTTCCGCTTGCCCATCTGCTTCTACCTCTGTTTTGTTTGGGATCTCTTTTGCATCTTCACCAAGGCGAATTCTTACACTGTCTTCCTCCTCTGTGTCTCTGGGGACTGCAGTGGCAGCAGGAGGCGAGCTAACAGTGGTGGTGGCCCCAGGAACAATGACTGGAGTAGGAGGAGAAGCTGGGGGAGTTGGAGGAACTGGAGATAAGGAAGGAAGTGTGGAAGGGATGGCCGGGACTGGGATACACTCCACTTTCATTTCTTTCAGGGGATTTTCTAGAATCTCCAATTCAAGAGTCAATGGCAACACCTCCCGTCTCACCATGTCTACAATGCTCTCCTTGGCTGGCAAGTTTTCACTAAGTCCATTCATTTCATTCATTAGGTTATTACTAGAAATCTGTGGGAGCTCACGAGGTGCTACACTAGAGGGTTTCTTGCATATGTCATCGTCCATTTCATCCGTTGGTAAAGGGTCTGATGTTACTGTGCAAGGCTGTGCAGGGCTGGCTAGAGGACCTGCATCTTCTTTTGAGGACGATTCACATCTGTCATCAAGAGCAGTAGTGAACACTGCTTGGCCACTAAGAGCAGTGGAAGTGGGGGAAGCAATAGAACTTCGGGCAACAGGAGACACAGTGGTGGGTGATGACGTCCGGGGAAGCTCTGGGGTAGACTCTGCTGTACACGTCTCAGGTGTCTGGCCTGCGGCTTCTTTCTTCTCCCCGCTAAGGACAAGCCTAAGGACTGGGGAAGGAGACTTTAACACTGGATCTGGTTTTGGCTTCTCGTCTATGGAAAAAAAAAAAAGAATTTTAAAGATAATTTTTGAACCACAAACTACACTGCATTGCCTTGCGTCAATTCTTTAAATCTTTTGCCCTGTCTCTTTCTCTAAGTCATGGGCAGCAAAACACAGACCAAAATAATAGACTCCAAAAAACATCATCATGATTACCTGGTCTCCAGTACACATAATGCCTACTTTACAGTAAGAGAAGGAAATCAGCTAACCAAACGACTGCATGTCAAGGGTACAAGAGAAAGCTCCTAACAACTAAAGCTACACTTTTCCCTTTTTTCTGAGACATGGTCTCACTATGTAACCTAGACGCATGATCCAACTGCCTCAGCCTCCTGAGTACTGGGATTACAGGTCAGGCATGTGCCACTCTATTGAGCTAAACTAAACCATACTTTAAGGTAATGTGACTTTTATCTTGTTCCCTGTGGACAATTTTTCCATTGAGGGCACACACAGTCTAGGTGGAGCGGTGTAAGAACAAATAATGGACACTAAATTATTATAAAGAAACTGATGTTTCTTTTTATTCTCTGTATTTCTGCATTTGGAGAAATTTTTATTTGGAAATATATTTCATGTACAAAAAAAACTCCCCCCCCCCTTTTTTTTTGAGACAGGGTCTCCCTGTAGCCCCAGGCTGGCCTTGAACTCACAGAGATCCACCTGCCTCTGCCTCCCAAGTGCTGGGATTAAAGGTGTGTGCCACCACGCCTGGCTTAAAACCATTCCTTTTTTTAAGAGAAACCATCATATTTTTTATTATCAATGACATCAAATACCTGTACATATACAATAGTTTAGAAAGTAACTTTCATTTCTCAGAAGAGGCATATAACCAGAAACAAAGATACTAAAATAGAAATTTTGTTTCTTCACATGTAAAACAATTCTTCAAGAAGAAACCAAAGCAAACGTTCAAATGAACAAACCAGATAAAAAAGAACACTGAACATGTATGTGGGAAATATTTTCAAATAATACATAAAACATACATCTGTGTGCAGAAAAAATAAGATCAAGAAAATAGGAAACTATAGCCATAAGGTGCCACAAAATAATAAAAGGAATGCTGATGAGCAAAATGCCATTCTTTTAAACTCCGGGTAAACTGAGAGCTTATGGGTGTGAGGAGGAACTCATGAGCCACCAGCCCTGGGCCTCCTTACACCTGCAGCACTACCCAGGCACCAAGGGACTGCAATAGAACAAAGTCTGTGGACGGAAGCAGGGTCTTGCAACCAGAATAAGAGCACAAACATTAAGTTATAAAAGGTTAATTCACAGCTCTGATCTTCACTAGCCTCAGAATTCACTTCAAATGCCAGGCACAGAAGTAAGCCTCTTCAAGTGGGTGCTGCCTCAGTCTGGTGCTGGTGAAGAAAGACCAACAGGTTCTCAGGAACAAGCTTCTCAGACTAAACTGCCAGGGCACAAACCAAAAATATATGAGGACGGTATGTCCTCATTATGTTCTCTTTGAACATATTTACCAGGTTTGTATTTATTAAACCATCTCTAACTAAAGCCATGTCCATCTTCTTGAGTAGCTGTTACGTGGGTCACACAAATTACATGACACCACAGTGAGAGGAGGTCAGAACAGCACACTCTGTGACCACTGGCTGAAACCTGGAAACAGAGAGTTAAAAAACACAAAACAAACAAAACAAAATAAAAGCAAACAAAAGCAGTTCTCTGACAGGCTTCTATAAATACTCCTGGAAAAACATGACTAAAAAATTGAGAAGCAAAGTTTGTTTCTCATTCTGAAACCCAGCCAAGTTCTTTCAGTCATTTTCAAGACTTTAATACAGAAAACTGAAAAGCGCAAAAGACGCTTAAAACAAATACACCATTTTATCCTTCTGAAAGACCTTTAGGATGAGCCTGCACATAATTAAGAATCCACAGGAATTCCACCATGACTAATTGTTCCTAAAGAGATAATCCTGAAAGACTGAGTAAAGGCAAATGCCTAGAATGTTTAAGGCCATGCTGAAACGGAAAGGGGATAAACTAGACATCCAGCAATAAGGGATTTATCGATAAATGATGGCCCAGGCACATAATGGGAAATGATATAATATTTAAAATAGGTTTTAAAAAGAGTATTTAGTCCTATGGGAAGTTGTAATAAAAGTATTTTCATGTTTTTAAAGCAGGGCAAAAAATTGTGTATAGAGCTTCAAGGAAACTTGGTAACTTAAGAAGACACTACTAGGCCAGACATGGTGGCACACGCCTTTAATTCCAGCACTTGGGAGGCAGAGGCAGGTGGATCTCTGTGAGTTCAAGGTCAGCCTGGTCTACATAGTGAGTTCCAGAACAGCTGGGACAGCTGGGGCTACAGGGAGACCGTCTCAAAAAAGACCAGAAAAAAAAAAAAAGACACTACTAATACATGCTCAATATTTATTAGGGTGTTTACTGCATTGTCTCTGGGTAATGGGTATTTATTTTTTCATTTTGCTTATCGACAGTTTCTGCAATAAATATGCCATATTTATAAGAAGAATGAAACTGTTTCCTATGATTCTCGTGTATGATGCAGCCAGTGGCTTGAACAGTTGTTTATGACTAGAGACTTCACAGCCACTGAGAAGATGCTGCGGTCGTTTAGTAGGCATGGACCAGATGGGCAAACATCCTACAATCCGAGGGGCAGTCCTGTCCTAAATGCCGAGAGCCCCAGTTGAGTAATGTTCCTCTGAATGATCAAATAACAGCAAAATACCATTTCCTGAATATAGTGGGAACTGAAGGCAACACTAAGACTACAACTGTAAGGAAACCACTAATTCTTCTTTCTATCCATTTCATACACCCTACTCTCAATACATTGGATTGAATGTCCTTTCTCACTTAGGAAACAGCAGTCATTGTGTGTGTGTGTGTGTGTGTGTGTGTGTGTGTGTGTGTGTGTGTTATAAGCAATAAACAATAAGTGAATATGAATTATCTTAAATAATTCAATAGTTTTTCTCTCTAGAAACCAATGCAAGGTATTGTCTTGACTATAAAAACACTGAACAAATGGAAAATGGTACATCTGTCTGGAGCCCTTGACTTAACGGAGCCATGCAGCTGCTCATGTAAACAATTCTGAGAAGACTGATGAGCAATGAAGGCAGGTAACATTTACCAAGCACCGACCAGGAATTCATGGAATACCATGCATACATCCCTCCCTTTAATGCTCACAACCACCATTAGTATAGAAACTCCTATAGTCCTATTTTATAAATGTGGAAACTGTGGGGGTGGAGGGGTTCCAAAAGTTATATAACTAGCAAAAGGGTCAAATCTGAGAATGCTTTCAAAGCCCATATTCTACCAACCTAGGGTGAAAAGGCTTATGGAAAACAAGACATTTAGATGCATCAAGCAGGAGGAATACTTCATTACCTATACAACCCTGGGCAATGACACTCCATTGACAGGAAATCTTGACTACAGCACAGAGATGCTGTTTTAGGAAAGTAATAACAGCCATCTTTTAAATCAGTGAATTCAGGCCAGGTGGTGGCGCACGCCTTTAATCCCAGCACTCAGGAGGCAGAGGCAGGCAGATCTCTGTGAGTTCAAGGCCAGCCTGGTCTACATTGTGAGTTCTAGGACAGTTGGGGTTACAGGGAGACCCTGTCTCAAAAAGACCAAAAAAAAAAAAAAAAGATAAAATAAATCAATGAATTAGTCTATCTTTAATTTTTAAAAATGTTAAAAGAAATGTAAAAAGGCAAATGTAAAGAAAAAATATAATCAAAATTGAAAACTTAAAGAACAAAGTGGCAAGTACTTTCTAATGGCATCTGAATTACACACATGTGATTTAAAAACCTATTCTGCTTCACTGAGATCTGCTTGTACTGAGGTGGATGGATGATTAGTCAAATCTGAGTGTGAGAAGACCTTCCAGTCTACTTCACACCAGATCCCTACAGTTCTGAGAAGCAAAACTACAAATGCCCTGGGTTTGATCCGTAGCACCATATAAACTGGGAGAGGTGGTACTTGTCTGCAATTTAAGCACACAGATGGTAGAAGCAGAAGGATCAGGAGCTCAAGGTCATCCTCACTGACATAACGCATTCAAAGCCAACCTGCGATGCTTAAGACTATACCTCGAAACAAGAACAAAAACAAAAACGAGAACAAAACAAGAACAAAAAAGTCACCTACCCTGAAAATGATTCCTACACACCAGCAGGCTATGAGAATTGTATGTTTGAGTATTTGGTGTGAGGAAGATGACAGACAAGTCACAAGAAGGTTCTCATTTCAAGGTGATCTAAAACATGTTACAATTCACCCTTATCTTTATTATATGTCAGAGTGAAAAGTTAATTTTTTTTTAAAATTCAAATTTTCTCTAAGCAAAAGGAAGAAAGAAAAAACCCGAGAGAATTCAAGATTTCTCCATTTCTTCTTTTGGAAATCTAGACAAAAAAAAGTCACAATACAGATACCTTAAAACCTCTTTTTTTTTTTTTTTTTTTTGTCTTTTTGAGACAGGGTCTCCTTGTAGCCCCAGCTGTCCTGGAACTCACTATGTAGACCAGGCTGGCCTCCAACTCACAAAGATCTGCCTGCTTCTGCCTCCCAAGTGCTGGGATTAAAGGCGTGTGCCACCACGTCCGGCTATAACCTAAAATTTTTAAGCTTTCTTTTTAATAAAATAACTATAAATAAAGCTATTTTCAGGCATGTCAGAACTATCATTATCAGGATATGTTTTGAGTTTTCTAATGTCTTCATACATTAGGGAAAAGTATAAGGAAAATGTATTTAAAGGTCTTGCAGCATGAAAAATGCTCAGTATGGTTAGCATAATTCTAACAAACAGATTATATTTGTGCAAAAGTGTACTAAAATTCTAAAGGAAGTACCTAAAATGTATGTCACTAAGATTAGAAACCTTCCCGATTTTCACTTAGAATGCTTACTGTCAGGCATGCTGGCACACAACTATGCTCGTATTCAGAGGACTGAGACAGGAGGATCACAAGTCTGAGATCTTACAAGTCTGTGTAACTTGGGTTACACAGCAAGTTCTTGACTAGCCTCAGCTTCAAAACCATACCCTGGCTTTAAGAAAAAAAGTCACTGGGGACAAGAACGAGTCTAGCCAAATCTATATACTGCCTACCTTTCTGCAAGACCTAAGTTTTAAATACACATGAGCCTTCCTGAAACTCTCAACATTGTTGAAAGAAGTCTCTTGACAGTACATACACTTTAGAAGCATGTCAACTGAAGGTTTGCTTCCTATCTTTTCAATTAAAATTACCCTATATACCAAAATCAATATTGGACTTGCCTTTGTGTGGAAAATTTTAGTTAGGTTGTCAATAAAAAACAGGAAAAAAGAAACTCTGTATTTAAAAACAATATATCATATTACCTTTTGGTCTTGTGAACAACACTGAAATCAGCGGGGTTTGGTGGTGCCTACTGTAAAGCCAGCACTTGGAAGGCCAGCTCATGCTACATAAGCAAGTTCCAGGCCAGCCTCGGCTACATAGTGAGACCCTGTATAACTAAGATCATATATTGAAAGTCCTTCTTTTAAGGCATATGAATATAATTTTGTGTCTAATAAAAATCCTTTACATAAAAACACTAAAATTAAAACATTTACTAACTTATCTCTACTTTATACTTTATGGACCATTTCTAAGAATCTTTTACAGAATAACATTTTAAAAGTATATTTAAAATCAACCAGCTATAGTATTAGAGGCGTAGATGAATGAATAAGAAAGCAGACAACACATAAACAGTTTATAATTATATTGAGAACAAAGTCAAAAACATGAGAAAGTGTGTTCACTGTGACAGGGTCCCCCATCTCTAATGAAAATTGTTTCCTGCTTTAGCAAAGGTAGAACTAAAATCCAGTTAGGCAGGAAAGAAAAGCCTGCATGGCATCCCACTTTCTAGAAGGAGATTTCATTTAAAGTTTATGGTAAGATCCCAAAAGGCATTGAATTAGTTTTCAACAAACTCATGGCATCTCATGTGTGAGGCCAGCAACAGTGAGACTTCTGTGTGGCTCCCACATCAGCGACAGTGGCTGTGATGTACTGAGGCCTGTTCAGGTGGGAACATGTCCTCACAGCACTCCTGCTCCTGGTGTGTTAGTGAAGAATTTGGTAAGTGACTTCAATGGGCATCACAGATGCTGGAGCCTTGGGATCTGAGCTTTCGGTAACTAGGAATTTAGAATCCCAATCTTTATTTTTGGTCTTTTTGAGACAGGGTCTCCCTGTAGCCCCCGCTGTCCCAGCTGTCCTGGAACTCACTATGTAGACCAGGCTGACCTTGAACTCACAGAGATCCGCCTGCCTCTGCCTCCCAAGTGCTGGGAATAAAGGCGTGTGCCACCACCCCCGGCCTATAGAATCCCAATCATATAAGAAGAAATATGTTCTTTTTGGAAACACAGCATTAATCACAAGGACATAGTGCATGCTGTTCTTGTGAAGTCACATATGCTTTAACTCAGTTCCCCACACCATCCCTAGGAAGGTGGCTCAGCTCTCATCTGTACACAGGTACTGACAGCAAGCAGTGCTGAGCTGTAAGACATTATTGTTTTAGTTTCCTAGAGTATACCACTTTCCACCGTAGATTAGCTACAAAGTGGATTTCTAAGTGAGCCTTGGATGTTTTCCCCTTACTCCTGAATACTGAGAGCAACGTCATTAATAAAAGAGACTAGAAAGAAGAGGGAGGAAACAGTTATACACAAACCTTGCTTCTGGTCGCTAGCTGCAGTGACAGGGGTGCTGGCAGCAAGATGAGCGCTCTCCACAGTCCCATAAACCACAGGGCTGTGCTCGGGGACCTGGCTGGGCAGCTGCTGGGATTTGAAGTACAAAAAAGGGTGATAATGAGCGTGCGAACATAAAAACTAGCAACATGGAACCCAAGCAGAGAGGGGAGACAGAGAGGGGCAGGGGTCACAAAATCAAAAGAAAAGCAGGGGAAGTTTTAATAAGAGCCGGGGAAAGGAGGACAGATGCAGCAGGAAAGGGGAGGAAAAGAGATGGTTACCATTAACCACAGCAAGAGAGACAGCACAGCATCATCAGCACACTCACTCGCCCATGTTCCTTCCAAGCACAGGTGACTTTCCATCGCTGCCACGACCAAGACGGAATGACCGTCCTCCCAGACAGACAAAGTTTTCGTCAACTTTCCTTATTAATTACCTGGCAAAGTAGTTCATCTGCCCAAGGCAGGACAAATATGAGTGTGTGACGGGTTTGAAACCCAGTTACAGATTCAAGAAAACAACAGTGAAGGTCAGGATTTACTTTCTGTTGCCGATCACACAGATGAAATGTGGCGTGCAAAGTAAGATACTTTCACCTTCACAACAGCCTTTAAGTTCTGGGTCAATGACAGGAACTTTTCAGTATCAGAAATCCAAGTAAAATATCTGGCTTTTCAGGACTAGAGGAAACTCATTTTTCACTTGGCCATTGTCATAGACTGAGAAATGTCTACCAAAAATTGAAGGAAGGAGGCTGATAAAATTGCAGCCATTGTGCAACTTAGAGGGAACAGAATTACACAAGGACAGAACACTCATCCTACAACACGTTCCAGGCAGGGATGCATCATGTATTTCAGGGTTACACAAAAGCCACATGACAAAGCAGTGTCTCTCCTCGGAAATCTAAGGTCAATTTTTGGTAGCTTAATGCCCTGCTTTGATTCTATCAGGGAGCAGACCGCCCTGCACAGCTAGCTCTCTGTGTATGAGTGTATGTCTCCGGAGTGGGAACTTAGGAGAATTAAGATATGGGTGAGTTTGCATAGGACAGGGCCACTTACAAGTAAGGGTTAGTACAAACTATTTTCAGTTCAATAATCTCATTTTAATTTCTTAAAGTAGAAATATAAATGGACAGCTCATTTGATAACAAGTAAATACTGCTTTTCAGCATATACAAGATATAATTTATATGTGGCTATGAATGAACTGTGTTGAATATAAGAGAAAGTACAAAACGCTATGATTTCACCTATTTTAGACCTGAAAGGCCTTACATTCCACAATCATTCTCAATGACGGCTACCAAGATATTTTAAGAAATGAAGAGTCACTCTTTTTACTTTGAATCACAGTACTGCCACAATTATTCTGAATCCCTATTTTCAGTGGTAGAGAACACCTATTTTAAATTAAAAATTGGGAAGGCTTCATATTTAAAAGTAAAAGAGCAGATTCTGTTCAATTCTATTGGCTAAACACAGATCTGGAAAAAATAAAACATTCCAACTTATTTAGCATTAGTAATGATCTATAAATGTAGAAAGAAATATTTAATGTGTACATTGTGCTGTTTACAAAAAACAAAGAAAATATCAAGTACCTAGGAAATTAATAAACAAAATAAGTTAACAGAATAAGGTAAATTTTTACAGATCTAAAGACTTGTCCATCTAAAACACCTTAAAATAATATGAAAGAAACAGGTCCTTGCTATATATTGCCTGGGCTGGTCTTCAGCTCCTGAGCTCAAGTGATCTCCATGTGTCAGCCTCTTCAATATTGGAACACATTTTGTATGTGCCACATTATCTGGTTGTGCCATTACTGGAAATCAAGACCTGGGGCTTCCAGCCTGCTAGATAAGTGCTCTAATAATAAGCTACATCCTCAGCCCTGTAGGCGTAAAAAGAATTTATATATAAAAACTCCAAAGAAAGGGAGCAAGAGAGATGATGGTTCAGTCAGTAAGGTGTCTGTGGTACAAGCATGAGGACCTGAGTATGTGTGTAAAACCTGGGTGTGGTGGCATGCACTGGAGGAACAAGAGACACAGGTGCCAGGAGCTCACTGGCCAGCTGCCCTAGCTGAATCAATGGGCTCCACATTCAGAGAGAGACCACATCTCCAAAAAATAAGGTGAAGGAAGATACCCACATCAACCTCTGGCCCCTATACACATACATAGGCATGTATATGTACACACATCACGTGAAAATGTAAATACACATCAACATACACAATTTGTTTCTTCATCTTAAAAAAAAATGAAAAGAAAGGACTGAAAGGCTGGGGTGACGGCCTCGTAGATAAACTGCCTGCCACACGAGCACAAGGACCTTCTCTTGGATCCCCAGAACTCATAAAGAAAGCCAACGGGGGAGGGTTACACCTGGAACCCTAGCTCTGGGGGTGGGGGAGCCAGGCAGATCCCTAAACTCATCAGTCAGTCAATCTTATCTAACAGAGCTTCAGGTTCAATGAAACCCTGTCTCAAAAAGTACCAGCGGGGAGCAACTGAGGAAAAAGATACTGTTGCTGATCTCCAACTTCCCCATGCACACACACGCTCACATGCACACTCACATGCATGCACATGGACACACACATCCACATTCACGAATACATACCACACATGTACACAAAATACTAAGATGACACCTTCACTAAAACAACAGTTCCAAATTCAAGCATCCAGTACCAAGTAATATCTCTATAACATTATGAGGAAATGCTACAGCTTCCTCAATGGAAATGAAGCAATAAAGATCTTCTTTCAACTTTAGCAACTTTCCTTAAGTCTAACAATGTAAAAAAAAACAAACCCATAACATCAACATACTTTAATCCAGTATGATCTCAATTCACTTTACAAACAGTCCATTAGAGGAGTCCCGCATCTTTCCAAACATGAATAATCATGAACTATTTTACCCAACAAGTCGTAATAATTAGGAAATATACTGAATACTGTGACTCATAACATCACATCCAATACTGTATGAATTGCAATGCATATAAAGAAATTCGGCTCCAGTGTTAAGAATACATTTATAGGTTTCCCAAACTACTACACCTTAGTCAAGATTCAAGACTGGGGAATGAAAATTCATTGAGAAATACTCTGAAAGAGCAAAGAATATGAAAATATAAAACAATAAAGATGTTAAGGAAATCAAGAGTTAAAAGATCAGGGTTAATTCAGCAAATCTTCCCATACTGCTGCAGCAGTTTATAATTTAATGAATGCTTAAAGGAGTATTTCCTGTTTTCTAACTACAGTAAAAGGGGAATTCAAATATGACAGATTTGATTACAGATGTATACAAGAAATGAATTTCCTTTCTAAATTCTAGTTAAGATGGCAGCTTTAATGAGGCTTTTTTTTTTTTTTTTTTGGTCTTTTTGAGACAGGGTCTCCCTGTAGCCCCAGCTGGCCTCAATCTCAGAGATGCTCCTGTCTCTGCCTCTCAGGTGCTGGGATTAAAGGAGTGAGCCACCACGTCTGGGCCCAAATACTAGAGGAATTCATTTCATAGTCTTCAAAGCAAAGCAGAATGTTGAACCGGGCGGTGGGTCATGCTATAATCCAGCACTCAGGAAGCTGAGGCAAGAAGACTGCCTCGAGTTTGAGGCAAGATGATTACAGGTCTGAGGCCAGCCTAGACTGTGCAATGGAAAACTGTCTCAATAACAAAAGGCAACAAAAATCTGAAATTATTCTCGTTGTTTTTTTGTTTCCTGAGGCAGGGTCTCCCAGTAGCCCTAGCTGGCCTGTAACTACAATAGAACAGGCTAGCCTGGATCTCAGGGAGACCTACCTGCCTCTGCTGGGATTGAAGGCCTAAACCACCACACCCTGCCACCTGGAATTGATCTTAATACTTCTTTGCACAATTCTTATCACACCCCAACACTGTTTCTGTCTCGAAAGGTTTACAATCCCAGCACTGTGACAATGGGGCCCCATGTCAGGTTTTGACTTGGCTACTACATTTTGATTTTTTTTGGGGGGGGTCTTTTTGAGACAGGGTTTCTTTGTAGCCCCAGCTGTCCTGGAACTCACTATGTAGACACAGGGTGGCCTTGAACTCACAGAGATCCACCTGCCTCTGCCTCCTGAGTGCTGGGATCAAAGGTGTGTGCTACCACGCCCGGCTTAAGATACTACATTTTGAAAGAGTATACATAAATCCCTGGTACTGGAACACATACACTCAGTCATCTGCATGTTATGTATGACTGCTTCTCTGCTGTAACGGTCCAACTGATCATACGAAGAGAACATAACAGAGAAGCTGAAAATACTATCAGCCTCATGATAGTTCGTCTGCTGACCCTTCTTATCAATGAGATGAAGCCAAAGACTTCAAATGTCACATACAAACAAGTAGAAGCTGATGAATTTGCTTTCATCACGAGGAAATTTCAATATTACACATTTTAGCATTTCAGGTGTAGCTGATTTTTCTAAGGCCCATGCAGTAACTTTACATTTTATAGTAAGTAGATCCAGAGGGTAAACAAGCACAGCATTCCCTGGGAAACACAAAAGACAAAGTAACAATACATTTAATGGTGCCAGAAAAGAAATAAAACCTGTTCTTCCCTGAGGGAGACAGATGCTCCCAGCCATGCATCAGAGGTACCTATGTGTTTCTTCCTGTGTTTACCAAGTACAGAATACTGAGAATCCACTGGTAATTAAGACAAAATTCTCAGCTTTATGGACCTAATATCTTGTCAAAGGAAATAGATATTTATTAAGAAATAAATCACAAAATAATCACTTAATTGAGCTGGAGAGATGGCTCAGCAGTTAAGAGTACTGGCTGCTCTTGTAAAGAATACAGGTTCAGTTCCTGGCATCCATATGGCAGCTAACAACTGCCCACAATTCCAATTCCAAGAGAATTCGATGCCCTCATCTGACCTCTGTGGGCACTGCATGCCACAGGTACACTTATATACAGGCAGGCAATACACTCATACACATAAAACAAAATTAATAAATATGAATAAAAAGATATTTTTAAAAAATGATCACTTAATCTCAGTGGCCATAAATGTAATTCTGGAGT